GACGACAGATACTTTTTGTAACAGATTCTGATCCTAGCTGCCCTCTCTCCCCTGCGAGTCTTCTTTCTCTTGAACTTTGGAGATTAAAAACATTCCCTCCCCCCCTAATTTACCCTCTTATTCTCTACAGAGTAGTCACCTTGGCATCACACACAGCAGGAAGAGCTGACCGGGAATGCCATGTGTGCTTGCTGCACCTTCTCTCTGATCATTGGCAAATTCTCTCTGGCCTCTCTGGAGCAGTTGGGGAAACATGCTAATACAAGTGTTAGACTTAACACAGTGCGACTCGAGGAGTGAGGGCTGGTGCCTGGGGAGAGCTGGGAAGAGAGGGGGCTGGAAGGAAACGGAATGGAAACTAGTGAGGTTTCAGGAACACTGGAAAGTGAGGGGCAGCGTCTTCTGAGGGAGCCTTCTCAGAAAAAACGAGTTCCGTGGTCTAGCTGAGTGACAAAATGTGCAGTCAATTTATTCCAGGACTTCTCGGAGCCCTTGGTGTGCAGTTGTGTTATGGGACCTGCCAAGACAGGGATACAGGAGACAGTTCTCCCCCAATATATCTGGCCAGTTTCCTGTAACGTCCACCTGGTGGATGGACGAGAGAATTATGACCCAGAGCCTGCCCAGGGTAACCTTGAGGAAGTACCTGCCCTCCCTAAGCCTCCGTTTTTGTCAAACAAAGATGCCTATTATTTCTTTTCAGGGATGATGGAGCTGCCATTTGATTCAAGTGGGCAGATCATACCAGAAGGCCAGCCTGTGCCCTTCTCTCCGGGGCAGCTAGGCACTCTGACCTTTAGTCATTGCTGGAGATGAGTGGATCCCAGCCTGTGTGTCCCAGCCTTGGCCCCCCCTCTCCTCCCCCGCTCCTCCCCCGTCACAGCTCTCTTGGCCTGCATCCTGGCCAGCCATCCCTGCTTGGCCTGCATCCTGGCCAGCCATCTCTGGCCACGTGCCGCCCTCCCCTTTGCCTGCTCGAGGATCAGATGCCCCAGGTAGCTTCGGGTATCACCAGTGGCTGCTCCCACAGGAAGGTGAAATCAGATCACTGCCTCTGCCCATCTTGGCAGGAGCCACTGAGCAGAGCATTAACCCTTCCAGTCCCCGGAGTGCAAAGGCATCAGAGACAGTCTAAGGGGCACTGGCATGGCTGGTGGTAGGCCAGGCCCTTGACATGCATGAGCTCATTTAATCCTCATGCCTGGCCATGCCAGCCATGTTTCAGAGGAGACAGGCTCAGGGAGGCTGAGTGACTCGTCCAGGATCACACAGCTGGTAAGCAAGGGGGCCGGTTGCACCTGAGCCTGCCTGACTCCTCATCGTCTCCTCTCTTTTCTCCTCCCATTTTCTATCAGCGGGAAGCCAGCTGGGCAGCTTCCTGAGCGCACACTGGTCCTGGTTAAGGGGTCTTCTCCTTGCCTTGGGCCTGGGCAGTGAGTGTTTATCTCTCTAGCCCTTTGAGGATGATGGCCATCCCAACAGACCAGACTGGTCTTCCTGTCGAACTTTCAGCCCTGGCTGTACTACCCATCGGGCCTCAAGATCATAGGGCCGTAGTACCACGGGGAGACTGATGCCCAGAAAGGGGGAAGGGCAGGGGCTGGCTCCTTGTCCCCCAGTGAGTTGGCGGCAGATTTTGGACTGGACCCTGGGTCTCCTGACACCCAGGGCAGAGCTTCCTGCCCACTGTTTCCTGCCCAGTGGCCTTGGTTTATCATTCTGTAAAAAAGCAGGGTTGTATGTGTACCATATAAGCAGCTCCTGTCCCCAGAGGCTGTACCTAGAGACTTGGGAGTGTGGATTATTCTGATAGGGTCCTAGAGCCTGCACCTTGCCTCCCAGTCCCCCCCACCCCCCCGGGCGACACTGGGGTGGGCAGGTCTGGACGATCCACTCCCAACTCCCCAGCCAGATCTGGGCCGAGGGGTGGAAGCTGATGCCGCCTCTGCTTGTGTCTCCTGGTCTCTAGGGGGTTTCTCTTCACCTGGATCTTAGTCTCATTCGCCTGTCACCTGGCCTCCACCCAAGAAGCTCCTGAAGGTAACTCTCTCTTCTCTTTGTCCAGGGGAGGATGGGGGGACAGAAGGGATGGGAGAATGCAGGGGTAGGAGACATCCGTGCCCCGAATTGGAACTCGATGCCTCGGTTTTCTCATCAGTAGAATGGAGCTGATCACTGGAAAATCCTCTCTGGTCACGAGAGAAACATGTTTGATGTTTTGTAAGGGGTAGGAAGGGCTCAGTGCAGAAATGTGGAGCGGGGAGCCTTTCGTTCCTCTCCGAGGCACAGTGTGGGTCGGCCACTTTGGGCCAGTCAGCCCCAGTCGCCCCTATTTGTCCTGGGACAACTGCTGAAAGGAGACATGAAGGCCAGGGCTATCATTGCCCAAGCCTGTCGCCGGCCCTCCCCTTGCCGTGAGATCCTGCTTTTCCCAGCGATCCCTGAGGAGCTGTCCAGGGGGCCAGGGCGGCAGTGGGCTGGCTACACAGCTGCCCGGTGAAACTGAAACCTCTCCCACATCTGTTTGTCAAGCAGCCACAAGGCCTCTTAAAATAGCAGCCCTTCCCCCTTCTCCACACCCGCCGTGTGCAGGGCAGGCCGCCGGGCACTCCCAGGGCCCCTGTGGCCTGACCTGGCCGCTGGGCAGGGATTGGGCCCCTGGGAGGGGAGGGCCATGCCCGGAAGAGACTCCTGCTGCTGCCCGGCAACATTTTGTGCAAATGTCACATTTTCCGAGCTTGCCGTTTCCCCCACAAAGTAGGTGAACAGCTGTCCAGAGTCCTGAGTCAGGCGCTGGGGGTTGGGGAGAGGCTGGAGCTGTGTGGAGCCAGGTTTATGTAATAAAGGATCTTGCTGCGGCCAGCTGGCTGGGCCCTTCCATCTTGGCGTTGGGCTGCATTCATTCCCCTGTCCCCTAGCTCCTCAGCTCTGATGGGATTCTGGATGTGTCTCCACCATGCGTTCCAGCCTGTCTGAGGGCCTCCAGCACAGGAGAGCATCGTGGCTAAGGAAAAAGACCCTGAAGCCAAGCGGTCAGGGTTCCAACTTCAGCTGAGCCTTTTGTTATATGCTACATGACCTTGGGCAAGTTATTATAGCGAACTTTCCTGACCCTCATCTATGAAGTGGGAATAACGAACAGTACCTGCTCCATAGATGATTGAGAGACTCAGTCGAGATAAGGCATGTCAGGCACTTGGTACAGAGTACGTGCTCGGTAAATGTTCGTTATTATTAACGACATTGTTTACCCGAAAGTTTGGGCAAGAACAGCCCCTCTCTCTCCGCGGTGGGGCCCACAGGGATCAGAGGCTCCGGAAGCTCAGCGGTGACCACCTCCGCCCCAGGAGTGAGAGTTCAGGGCTCTGCCCGCGGGGGAGGCTTGGAGACTGGTTGGTGTCGGTGTTGAAACCTACCTCAGCAGGACGATGAGGGAAACCCCATCAGTGCCGCCCGGCCCGGCCAGTTGTCCGTTTCCCTGGCGAGTGCAAGTGGCTGCAAGCTGTGGTTTTCCCGGGGGAGATGGGTGCAGGCCCGGGGGCCTCCTGGGGCGGCCGAGGGGGAACAAGTGGCTCCCCAACAAATGGCTCCTCCATTTTAAGTTGTTTATAGTGAATAATACTTTGTGATAACGAAGCGGTTTTCAGTGATTAAAACGTAAAATATACTACTACTCAGAGACCCCTTAGCAGTTTGGTTTAGCTTAGGACCTGGGGGCCAACAGAGGTGGGAGAGAGGAGGAATGTGAAGTGAAATGAAGGCCCTCAGGTCAAGGGAGGAATAAAGGTCTTCAATGCAAGTGGCTGAAACAGCAGCCTGAAGCTACAGAGCTCTTAGAACAGGGCCATCTCCAGGTCTCGTGTCCCCCGTTTTACAGGCAGGGAAACCGAGGCCTGGGAGTCAGGAAGAGCCCGGGCCAGAGTTTCGTGGTGCAGGGCGAGGGGGAGGAGATGGGGAAGACGACCATCGCATCTCCCAGCAGCCCTATGATGGAGGCACATCTTGTAGCCCCTCTCTACAGAGGGGGAAACTGAGACTCAGTCCAGACCCATGGCGGTCTTGTCTGGCTTTAAGGTCTGGCCTTCTGCCTCCAGAGCCTGCTGTGCAGCCATTATGCTGCCCTGTTGCCAGCACCCAGGTTCTCCGTTTCTCCCAACCTGTCTAGCTGCCCATCTACCCATCCACCTGTTCATCCACCTCAGTTGTCAATGGAGGGCCTACTAAGCGCTGAGTGCCGCATTCAGCCCAATGTATACCCGTCCCACTGGGTAGTGAGAGAGCATTCCACACTCAGGGGCTAGGTGCCGAGCTCAGGGGAGGGGCCCTGAGGACTGACCCAGACCCCAATTCCGGGGGCGGCCTCTCTCCGGCCAAGACAGCTCAAGGCCAGAGTCTGCAGACACTGGCAGCAGAATGGCTCGTGAGAGGCGAGTTCAGGTCGCCTTTCCATAAACACCCTGGAAGCCTCCTCTTGCTCTGGCGAGCCCCGCCGCCGTAATTACCAGGCGGATGTGACCTGGCCAGACCGCGGTCTGCCAGAGGACAGAGGCTGCAGGGGTGCCTCGATGACTTCCCCGGCTCTCTCCAGAGCCACTCAGCGAGGGCGGCGACATTGGAACTGTCCTCTCCCTCCCATGCAGAGAGAAGCTCCCCGGCGCCTGCTCCAGCCAGACAGAGACCTCGGGCGTGGGAAGGGACTCAGTAGGTTCCTAAAGGTGGACATCCTGACCCAACTCCAGTGGCATGTCCATTCCTGTCACCCTGCTCCCTCACTTGTGGGCCTGCTGCCTGGAGGAGACACCCTTTGAGGCAGAGAGAAAGGGAAGCAGGTCACATTGAACACAGCCTCTGATACCCAGAGCTAACATTTGGTGATGATCATTATTTTTAATATCAATAGCTATTGTTTAAAAAAACTTATTTTGTGCCAGGCACTTTTTTTTTCAAGTGTATTAGCTCATTTAATCCTCACAGCATCCTTCTGAGTGTGTTGCTGCTCTTATCCCATTTAACAGATGGGAAGACCAAGACACTAGAGTCACAGGGCTAGTAATGATGGAGCTGGTATTTGAACTCAGGACGTTTGGCTCCGGAGGCCGTGTTTTCTGCCACCATGTGCAAGATCATGCAGCCAGACAAGGAACCGGTTCCAGCTCCGCACTCTCAGCCACACCCATGGGGCAGCGGGCAGCGGAGGCCGATGGTCCTCACTGCCTGCGCACCTGTAGGGGTCTGGGCTGGAGCAGGCCCTGACCGTGCTCTCTCCCCTCTGCCCTCCCTCTCCAGATGTGGACGTCCTCCAGCGGCTGGGCCTCAGCTGGACCAAGGCAGCGGGCGGCCGGAGCCCCCCACCCCCAGGGGTCATCCCATTCCAGTCGGGCTTCATCGTTACGCAGCGGGCCCGGCTCCAGGCCCCCACGACCGCCATCATCCCTGCCGCCCTGGGCACAGAGCTGGCGCTGGTGCTGAGCCTCTGCTCCCATCGGGTGAACCATGCCTTCCTTTTCGCCGTCCGCAGCCGGAAGCACAAGCTGCAGCTGGGCCTGCAGTTCCTCCCCGGCAAGACGGTCGTCCACCTGGGACCCCGGCGTTCCGTGGCCTTCGACCTGGACGTGC